AACAGTTAAGAAAGAGTAGTCAATATATAAGAAAGAGTAATCACCGAAACTCTGACGATAGGTCACCGAAGCTCTGGCAATAGGTCACAGGAGCTCCAGTGAGTGGCCGTTGAAGCTCTAATGGTTGGTCATTGGCATCGGAGCTCCAGCGGCCGGAATTGCTGAGGTGGCAGTATTTAGAAAAAAAGGTAAAAAAAATAGTAAAGGCCATTTGTGTAATTTTACAAGATTTTAAAATTTCAAAAAAGTACCTAGGGTCTAAATTGGCATTTTGAAATTCAGATACCCTATTTGTCATTTAATAATTTTAAGGGTATTTTAGTATCTGTTTTCCTAAATAAAATAATATTTTTTATTTTTGAAAAAAAACAACCCGTCTTTTCCACCAAATTCGGTGGAAAAGATGAGGCATTTAAGAAGAAGAAGACCTTGGAGCAGTCATTTGTTGAAGAAAAAAATTTGAGGGGTGTGATTAATAAATGAAGTAAAAAAATAAAGTCGGAGCTCCGATGGTCAGAATTGTTAAGGTGGCAGTATTTAGAAAAAAAGGTTAAAAAAAAAAAGTAAAGGGTATTTGTGTAATTTTATAAGATTTCAAAATTTCAAAAAAGTACCTAGGGTCTAAATTGGCATTTTGAAATTCAGATACCCTCATTTGTCATTTAATAATTTTAAGGGTATTTTAGTGTCTTTTTTCCTAAATAAAATAATATTTTTTATTTTTTCAAAAAAACAACCTGTCTTTTCCACCGAATTTGGTGGAAAAGATGAGACATTTAAGAAGAAGAAGACTTTGGGGTGGTCATTTATTGAAGAAAAAAATTTGAGGGGTGTGATTAATAAATGAAGTAGAAAAAATGAAAAGCAGATGGTTGAGTAGGAAAAATAAATGGGAGGAGGGGAGGTGATGGGCATAAGAGAAAAAGAGAGTGAGAGGCAAAGAAGAAAAAGAGAAAGCGAGCGAGCTGAGTTGCATAATACATGATAAGTTTTGAGGATTAATTAGGTACACAAAAATACTTCTTTTTATTAAATTTTCTTTATGGATGCTTTTTATATATTTAGAGATTTGTATTAGTACTATCATTATAATGTTTAGAGAAAATTTTGCGGTTTGAATATGGAGTAAGTAGTGAGTTTTGATAATATATGACCGTAAAAATTTAAAGATATATTATTAAGAAATTTTAATTAGTTTATTTTTATTCATTGATTGTTTTGAGAATTTTAAACTAAGATTTTGGTTAAAAAAATATATTATTCAAGACATTCAGAATGTTTTTACCGATTAAATTTAAGTTAAATAACTTATTTGGGTTATTTAACATATTATTAAAATTTTAATTAGTTTAAAATGTGAAATATGTTAAGGTTATATTATTAAAAAAAATTTGAAGCTGAAAACTTAAGTTATAAATTGAGAATTTTACACAATTAAATAAAATCAATATTTATTTATAATTTGAATGAGTTATTTGGGTGGAGGAAAAATGTTATTTGAAGTAAGAATTTTTGGATAGTAAATATATTTGTGTATATATATTAATAATAATAAATTCTATGTAATTTAAGTTATTTATTTGTATATATATATTAAATTGTATCTACATTATTTGTAGATTATTTTATATTTCGGAATCTGTAATTTGTGCTCTTATTCCTCAAGTTGTGAGGTTAAGCTTAGAGTAGATATAACCATGATTAATTTATTTTATATGATTGATATGGATTGTAAGGTTTTCTTAATTGGTGAAGTGGGAAGTATATTAACTCAAATATTATTGGTTTGTATTGTTTAAATATTTGTATCATTTTAAAGAGTAGAGTTGATGTTATGTGATGAATTGTGAGATATATGTACTAGTTAAGATTGTTATATTATGATTATGTATTGGGGTCATAAATGAATATTGGGATTTTTTATTATGTTAAAGAGTTGAGTTGTCATCTCTGTCATCTTACCCATAATTGGTATTTCAGTTAGCTCTTCCATCAAGTGATACTCTGTCACACTCATATAGAAAATATGTATTGTCTTTCTACTCAATGCATAGCCACCACATTAGCCTTTTCTAGATGGTACTTCAACTCAAAATCACAATCCATTAAGAATTCCATCCATCTTGGTTAATGATTATTTAACTCTTTCTTGTCTACCAGGTGCTTTGAGCTTTTGTAGTCACTAAAAATCTCAAATTGCATACCATATGGATAGTGTCTTCAAATCTTTAAGACAAACACCATTGCTGCTAGTTCCACATCATGGGTGGGGTAATTCTTCTCATGAGGTCTCAATTGTCTAGATACATATGTTACCACCTTGTTATCTTGCATCAATACACAATCCAAACCTTTTAAAGATGCATCTATGTACATTGTATAGTTGTGATGGTTCAAGTATAGTAAGGACAAGTGTTGTGGTCAACTTTGTTTTCAAATCTTGAATGCAACTTCACACCTTTCCGTCCACACAAAAAGCTTGTCCTTCTTTATCAGGTTAGTTAATAACATGGCTATCTGAGAAAAGCCTTTAATGAAATGGTGGTAATATTCGGCTAATTCCACAAAGCTTCTCATTTCAGTCACAAACTTGGGAGTTTCCTATTTCAACACTACCTCTACTTTACTTGGATCCACGGCCACACCTACAGAGATACTACATGACTTAAAAACTTTACCTCCTTCAATCAAAACTCACACTTGCTCAGTTTGGTGTACAACTTGTTCTCTCTCAATATTTGTAATACAATATGAAGGTGTTTACAATGCTCTTTCTCATTCTTCGAGTATATGAGGATATCATCAATGAAGACTATAACAAACCAATCTAAATAAGGCCTCATACTATCCCACTATTACTTTGCTTTTCCTTCTAATAGAACTTTGGCAACTTGCAGCTTCTGCTAGGAATTATAATTCACTGTACTCAACAAGGTCTCCAATCAGCCCATTCAAGCCTCTGCTTCTATAGAATTTAGACTATCCTTGAAAGTTGGAGGGTTGAAGCGGCCTATATACTTCCAAACTGTTGTTATAGGAATGTCGGGTAATACCTTAGTAACTTCTTGTTCATTCATTGTTTCGTGCTCATTTGATTGGCCTCTGTTATGTCCAATATTATCACCATCATGATGACCTTTCATCTCTGGAGAGATCTCAGCTTTTTTGTTACTTCAGTTATCTTTTATTTTTCTAACCCGCTCATCAATAGAAAGAGTCACAGCTTGTAACTGTCTCAAGATCTCATCATTAGTCTGATTAGGTTGGCTATTGCCATGAGGTGGCTAGCGACTTTCCTCACCAGTATCAATAGTACGCCTGGTACTTACCATTTCTCCCCACCTAAGAGTAGAACCCCATAAGGTTTTTTGATCTCTGGTGCATTCCATATAGTCTTGATGACAATATACAATCATTACACTTAAGCTTCCATTCTATTTCTCTCTTTTTCTATTTTTCTTAAGTGTTTCCCTTTCCTTTTTGTGGGGTTCTACCCTTAGGTGAGGAGAGATGGTAAGTACTAGGCGTACTATTGATGTTGGTACAAGCTATTATTTTTTCTATTAATGAGCAAGTTAGAAAAATAGAAGATAACCGAAGGAACAAGGAAGCTAACATCTCTCAAGAGATGAAAGGTCATCGTGATGGTAATAGTATTAGACATAATAGGGGCCAATCAAATGAGCAAGAAATAGTGAATGAAGAAGAAGTTGCTGAGGTATTACAAGACATTCCTATAATAATAGTTTGAAAGTATATAGGCCGCTTTAACCCTCCAATTTTCAAGAGTAGCTTGAATTTAGTAGAAGAAGAGGCTTGGTAGACCGATTGGAAACCCTATTTAGTACAGTGAATTGTAGTGCCTAAGAAGGTGCAGGTTGCCAAGGTTCTATTAGAAGAAAGAGCAAAGCAATGGTGGCGTAGTGTAAGGTCTAGGGATGACAGGAGAATAGTTTGGAATAAATTCAAGAATTTTTCTTTGATTATTTCTTTTCAATGGAGGTGAGATAATAGCAGGAAGCAGAGTTCTATGCCCTTTAACAAGGGAACATGCATGAAGATCAATTCATTGCCCAATTCACACATCTATCTAAGTAGAGGCTTTTTCACATTAATATAAAATATATAATTTTATTTTTTTATAATATAAAGACTAATTTTTTCAATGGTTCAATTGTAAGAATTTAGTTGTATCAAATTGAAGCCTAGAAACTAAGCTATAATCGACTTAAAATTATAAGAATTGAGATACCTGAATTAAAAGTTTAGAGACTAATAAATTTCAAATGAGAAAAAAAATGAAGAGATTAATTTTTGAAAATTTTTTTTGTCTTCATCAGTTATTAGCTAATCTCATTACATTAATTTTTCACATTTTTGCTCACACCTTTTTTCTTTACAACATACTACATCAAGTTTATAATATAAAAACTAGTTAATTAATTTTAAAAAATAAAAAAATAAAAAATTACTTAATTATAATATGTGTTTGATAATTTTTTTTAAAATATTTATATATATTATTATATTATACATTAATTTATAAGTCAGACATATCAGTTTAAAAAAAAGATAAATAATATTTTAAATTGATTCATTTAACTTTTCTAATCTCTTTAGTTTAGTGAACTAATTTTATATTAAGAGAGTGTTTGGTTTAATAAAAAAAATTTTCACATAAATTAAAATAAATTTTTTTACATATTTATTTTGTATGTTGTAAAATTATTTTTAAAATTATAATTTAGTTTTAGAGTAGCAACATTGTTATTCAAGATAAAACTCGTGTGTTCACTGTTCAGGAATCTGACTCATCGATGGCTGGCTGGGAAGCTTCAAGCTAGCCGACAGAGAACTTTTACATTCAAGATTCGATGCACCAAATCAAACATCAGTGTCTTGACCTGCGTATCCTTCAAATCGTCCGTATAAACATTAAAAAAAAATCCACAAGAGAAAAGGCCAAAAAAACAAAATGAAAAACACTTGCACACCTCTGATTATTCATTAATTATAAGTCATCTATTTAATAATTATTCAAATTAAACTCCGATTACAGAGTAAAATTGTCTTGCTATTAAGGCTAACTCTTCAAGTTTCGATGCTTGACCCCAAAGAGAACAGATGAAACGAAAAATCGTTTCGAGTTATTTCTCTCTCAAACTGTCAGCAAATACAGATAAAGTCACTGTGGAGGGTCCATCTTCCTTCAACGCACGAACAGCTTCAAGTTTCAAGGCATGGATTCTCGCACGAATCTCATTGCTTTCTTCTCCTTCCATCATCAACCTCCTTATGGCTTCTGCAATATCTTCCTTCTCCACAATCCCATTCTTATTGTCGTTTACCTTTGGCCACACAGCCACCTTTAGTCCATTGGTCAGCAAAACGGCGTTCATCCTCTGTTCTGCAAAAAGTGGCCACGGTATAAACGGCACGCCATGAACAATACCTTCAAGCGTTGAGTTCCAACCACAGTGACTTAAGAATCCACCAACTGAACCGTGTCTAAGAATTGGAATCTGTGGTGCCCATGAAGGAATAACCAAACCTCGTTCTTTAGTTCTCTCCAGAAACCCTTTTGGTAAGAAATCAAGAGGATTCTGATTTGAGGTATCAAGATAAGCAGCACTAGAAACTTTACTTGGGGATCTCAGAACCCATAAGAATCTTGTTTCACTTAGTTCCAATCCGTGAGCCAGTTCATTGATCTCATCTTGAGACAGGGTCCCACCACTCCCAAACGAGACATAGAGAACAGATTTAGGTGGGTGATTGTTCAACCATATTAAACAATCGAAGCGATCTGATCCGTTTGTGTCGTTGCTTGACCCACTTTGTATAATGGGTCCGACAGGAAAAAACTGAGGCTTCTTCTTCTTCGTCGTCTTGTTCTTCCCTTGGATTTCTTCTCTTAAAGATCTTATGGTCTCTGGTTCTAATTCTTCAAAGCTGTTGAAGAGAACTCCATCTGCAAGACTGAACTTTCTGGATCGTTCTAGAAACATCTTGTAGGCTGAGCTGGACCGATCCTGAAACACCGTAGGAAGATCTCTCCCATGAATCGGAAGACAACCTGGAATCTCTACGGGTTCCTTAAGGTCTCTGAACTCTGAAGAAACCGTTTCATCCAGAAGTAATGAATAATAATAAAGTGAAAACACCATAGCAGCTTGTGGAAGGTATATGTAAGAGAAGACGTTGAGTTCTGAAGCGAAGGCTAGAGAATCTACGGCAAAAATATCAACAACAAAAGCTGCGAGGCCATCTCTGGATTTCATGGACTTCAGTTCGTTGTGGATATATGGAAGTGATAAAGTCACTGTGCCTTCGATTTGGAATGCTAGAATATCGGGTTGAGAAATTCTCTCTTTGGGAATTGGTTGGAGTAAAATGTAATGGATGTTTGAAGGAAGAGATTGAAGGCAGGCTATGGAGGAAGGCGAGTGAGATCCGAAGGCTGGAACGATGCAGGTGACATGAAAATCTGGATGAAGATGAACAAGTCGCTTGGAGAATTCAAGAATCGGAACAAGATGGCTGAATCCTGGACTGGCTATGACGGCGATTTGAGTTGTTTTCTCCATTATGGGTTGATTAGCTCTCAATAAGGCCTTCCCTTTTGTGCTTAAACGCTCTGCATATGTTTTTGTAGAGAAGAAACTGAAAGAATTGGATTCTCTCCACTATCCTTCCCATCCTCTTCTCCTCCACTATCTTTCCCATCCTCTTCCCCTCCACTGTCCTCCTTTTCTCTTCACAACCATTAGATCAAAACTCCAATAATCCAGATTTAATATTTTATAACATTTTATAAAAATAAATATTATGATAAAAAATAAATAAATAAATTTAAACTGTTAAAATCTAATTTGAACAGTTCATAACTACAGGCTGTTATGATGGAGCAAATTTTTTTTCAATTCTTTTATTACAATTGTGAACTGTTCAGATCATATTTTAACAGTTTAAATTTATTTATTTATTTTTTTAATGACATTATTTTTATAAGATGTTAAATCTGGACCATTGGAATTTTGATCCAATAGTTGTGAAGAGAAAAGAAGGATAGTGGAGGGGAAGAGGATGGGAAGGGTAATGGAAAGAATCCAAGTCCGTGCTGGGCATGTTGTTGCATCCCCACGTTAAACCAAGCGCTGGGTGCTGTTACGCACCGCCATCTGCAATTGACTCCGGACTTAGATTCTTAGTGGAGAGAATCCAATTCCATGGTACGCGCCGCCATCTGCAATTGACTCCGGACTTGGATTCTTAGTGGAGAGAATCCAATTCCATGCTACGCGCCGCCATCTGCAATTGACTCCGGACTTGAATTCTTAGTGGAGAGAATCCAATTCCATGTTAGGCGCCGCCATCTGCAATTTACTCCGGACTTGGATTCTTAGTGGAGAGAATCCAATTCCATGTTACGCGCCGCCATCTGCAATTGACTCGGACTTGGATTCTTAGTGGAGAGAATCTAATTCCATGTTACACACCGCCATCTGTCGGAGAGAATCCAATTCCAATTGACTCCAGCTAGACTCATGGAAGCCTTGCGTTTGAACTTGCGTCATCCTGATTCCACCAGCTGCCTCTCCTGACAGTGTCGAGGGAGTTAATCTTAAAATTAATTTAAAAATGGGACCATGCCTCCGCTTGTCTTATTGATTTCTGCTTTATTTTTCAATATTATATATCATATTTACCCTATAAACTATATTTGTTTCCTTTCATTATAGGGACACCTGGAACTGACTTCAATACTTGCACAGAAATCTGTGCCTTTTAAATACAATTTTAACAATTTAGATTATAACCTACGTGAAAAAACTATAAATACACAATCATACTTTATCTGAAGTATTTTCCTATGTATATTTAATAATGTGTAGGTCATGAGCAGTAACTTTCTATAGGAGAACCATCCTAGTCAATTTCGGACTTGGATTCTCTCCATTACTCTTCCCATCCTCTTCCCCTCCACTATCCTCCTTTTCTCTTCACAACCATTGGATCAAAATTCTAATGGTTCAGATTTAACATCTTATAAAAATAATGTCATTAAAAAAATAAATAAATAAATTTAAAATGTTAAAATATGATCTGAACAGTTCACAATTGTAATAAAAGAATTGAAAAAAAATTTGCTCTATCATAACAGCCTGTAGTTATGAACTGTTCAAATTAGATTTTAACAGTTTAAATTTATTTATTTATTTTTTATCATAATATTTATTTTTATAAAATGTTATAAAATATTAAATCTGGATTATTGGAGTTTTGATCTAATGGTTGTGAAGAGAAAAGGAGGATAGTGGAGGGGAAGAGGATGGAAAGGATAGTGGAGAGAATCCAATTCTTGCACAGTAGTGGGTTGGCTTTGATTTGGATTAGCTTGGGCTCAGATACAGTTAAAAAGGGAGGTTTAAAATACCAATGGTTCAGTGTATGACGTTAGAAGTGAGTATTTGATTTTTCAGTTTAGTTTTGGATGATAATTGAATTAACTAAATAATCAAATAGAATTAATTTTAAATACTAAATTGAAACCTATTAACCAAATTAATTGAAACTGAATTAACCAAAATATTTTGGTTTGGTTATTCTGTTAACCGAATATATAAATGTCAAAATGATTTTAAATTAAAAAATATAATAAAACACAATTACAACCATTAATTAATTATATTTCATTATTTCATATGATTTATTATAATAATATTTATTATAACCATATTTATTAAATATAAATATATTTAAAGAGCTCACTTACACCCATATGTATTTATTATAATAATATTTATTAAATATAAATATATTATACATTTGTTTCGGTTTTTGGTTTTAACCGAATTTTTTTAATAACTGAACTAGACACTAAAAACCGAATTGTTAAAAATAAAAACTGAATAGGTAATCAAAAATTGAAATAATCGAATCACAAAACTGAAACTGAATTTATTCTGGTTCGATTTTCAGTTACGGTTCAGTTTTGCTCCCTTCTATTTAGTACTCATATTTAGTATTCGATAGTATCTCGAACTGGATTGTCTATGTATAAAACAGAAAAACCAATGGTTTAGTCCAAAACCCAAAATTAGAAGACATTTAAGTGGATATTTATAAATTTTATATTATTATTACTTTTTATTAGGAAAAATGACATGAAAAAAACAAACCTTGAAATTATGGAATGCCAAATTGATACACTGAAATTCAATAATTCCTCTTAGGTGTGAAATCTCAAAATGGGATTTTAAAATTCAAGAAAAAAATACTTCTTTTTTTTTTTTTTAAAGAAAAAAGAAAGTTCTCAAGACCATGGGATTTTGATTTACTATCAAAGTATTGCAAAATAATACACATGCGCGCGCGCACATGTATATTATATATGATGACTATATGCTAACTACTTCACTTTGACTACAAGTCATTTATAACTTTTTGTTTAGCTATTCACTTATATTTTATTAGCTATTAACAAATTTTATTAATAATTAACAATAACAATGCCTCTCTTTTAAACTTTTGTTTAGCTATTTCTATATTTTATTAACTACGAACAAATCTTATTTAATAATTAACAATGCTACCAATTTTGCAACTTTTGTTTAGTGATACGTTACGTCCATTTCATTGGTTATTTATAACTTTTGTAATTAAAGGACTCCATTGATTTATAAAAATTTTAAAAAAAAGACATGATTTTTGATTGCTGAACAAGAGTGACACTCTCGTTCCGTAATGAAGGAAAGAAAGTGTCATACAAAAAGGGCACTACAATATTAGTCAGGTTGCTACGCCTTGCAATAATTCTACATAAAACTACTAAACATATAGGAAGATCAATTTCAAATAATTTGTTTTTCCAAACTGAGTTCAGTTAAATTTTAAAGTAACTAAATAAGAGTTTGGAACACCCTAAAGTAATTCAAATGAAATATAAACAAGCGTCACCAACTCTCTACTCCAGTACAATTTTACAATTATCTAATCCAATTAAATACACTCAAGAACATTTAATTCTAATTAAGCACAAACAAATCCGTCAGGAACTTTCTTCCCACAAGAATTAACAACCAAACTAAGAGCAACAGGAACTTTGAGATTATTTCCCAGCACATTGGCTTTAATGGCTGTGCACAGACACAGTGCAGCTTCAAGATCTGCAAGGCCCTTCACAACAGTGCAGCATTTCTCACTTGGTTTGCTCCCAATAACCTCAGTCACTAACCCCAACCAGCTTCCACAGACCCCAAACTTAAGTGTATCCATGGGGCATTTCTCTGCAGCCTTCGATGCAGAAGAAGAAGATGAAGAAGAACAAGAAGTGTTTGGAGGGCACGCGAGATTGTAACCCGCAACACAATGGAAGAAGATAAGGAAAAATGAGAGGATAATATTTGCAGATAGCTTTGGATTCATCATTTTCTCTCACTCACTTGAAGTTTATGTTATGGCTTTGGAATTATTTTATAGCTCTAAAGGATATTATTGTGACTATTTTGCTTGTGGAAGTTGTGTGGCTAGGTTTGAACCGTATATGGATATGGTTGCTGATTTAGATTGCTGTGTTGTTGGCATCAAGCACGAGGAAAAACCACAGCTTTTGTTATATAAATCATTTTCCGTATTTTGTTTTGTTCCCTTCTCTTTCTTTTTCCTTAAAATCGTGTGAATTTGATTTAAATGGTGAACAGACATAAACTAATTCCCTTTTTTTTTTTTTTGTAGCATAAGTTGTTGGTTTACGCCTAGTTCACCCTTGGTAAATTAAAACCCAAGCCCATCTAAGTTTGAAGCGCAAATAAGCGTGGAAAAAAATGTATGACGCAAAAGTCTTGTACTTTTCCTCTCTCCTTATTTTAAATCTTTACGTAAAAGTCTTGTACTTTCCCCCTCTACTTATTTGAAATCTTTATTATGAGTCCCACAAGTATCGTGAAGTTTATAAGTTTAAGAGATTTTTCTTCCTAATATGTTAGTCTTTTAGGATAAGACTTTCCTTTCGATCTTATACTTATCACATTGGTGATTTCATTAAGACTCAACCAATCAAAGAGAGCCACCTGCAGAGGGTTTTGACCAATAGGAAACAGAGTGAAATGCCGTAGAGTTGAGCACCCGGGAACTTTGGCCTTCGGGGGAGTGCATTGTTATGAGTCCTACGCTAGGGAGTCTTATAAGTGTTCTAGGGTTTATAAGTTTAATACACTCTCTCTTATAATAGATTAGTCTTTTCAGATTGAGAGCTCTCCCTTTAAACTTACACTCATTACAATCTTGGTGGGATCAATTTTACTTAGGGCTGCTCATGAAACGGGATAGGGACAAGCCCATCCCGATAAATAAGGATGGGACACGAAATCTGTCTAATGTCCCGTCCTGTCCTGTATTTTTCTTTTGTTTTTTTTAACATTTTTTGCCTTGCAGGTAGAGCCGGGAATCAGGGCCGGCCCTTCAAGGCTGGCGGGCTTAAAAGGGCCGGCCCTCCAGAGCTGAAATTTTAAAAATACTCCAATTTGCTAGGCCCGGCCCTTAAACTACAGGGCCAGGGCCGGCCCGCGGGCTTTTGGCTCGTTTAAGAAAAAATACTATTTTTTATATTTATCATATTTTTTATAAAA